TAACACGCGCGACTTCGCGCAAACTTCGCGCGTTCGCGCATTTTTCACCCTGTTCCTTTCCGAAATAAGAAAAACGTAAAACATAAAAGTTGTAGCTCTTTGAGTTAGCTTTCCAACCATATATTGTGGAGCCCAAATAGAGTTCTGAGCGAAAAGTTATGTGTATTTTACTAGACAGTGCGCAATCTGCCTACTGAAGTCTTCGTTTGCTCTAACTATCATCCGTTGACTCCCAAACGCGATCCCGGCTTAATTCCTTGAGCTTTTACTCAGACTTCAAAGCTCCAAATCACTTGAATTCATTCCATAACATCTACATAGCTCGGAATCACTCCTACAAGGCATAAAATACACAGTTAGTGCAAGACGCTAGCGATTAAAGCTCAAACTCAATTAAAGTACAGTAAATTAGAGTGTAATAATCGATTAAAATACGCAATTATAGCCTATCATCACAGGATTCCAAACTCAAGCCTACAGTTGTTTAAGATTTGTTATTTTCCTATCGTTAAATATTACAGTTAGTGATTTCTCTACTGAATACTATTAAACAGATCGATCAAACACATTCAAGAAATTTAAGTTCAAAATTTTTATAGCATTTATAATTTAAAACATTTAACCTACACTTTACAGTAAATATCACGTTCAATTCTTCTTGCTCTTTTTTTATTTAAATTCCACACGCACTTTTTTTTAATAGGTACTTTCTTTTAAGGATCAAACACACTTATCCGCCGAAAGCTTTTTAAAAACTTATTATGCTCCATTTGGACTTCTTTTTCAGGGTCTGTTTGGAAAGCCACTAGGTAATTAGAATTGTTGTAATTACTAGGGTAGTAATTACACAGCCTAGTAATTACACAGTTGCATAATTACGACAACATGTTACAATTACAAGTTTACTGTTTGGTTGCACAAGTATAATTACACAGTTAAATTAAATTTAAATGAAGTAATTATCAACATTAACAAGTTAATATAATAAATATATGCCTATAAATTTTTATAAGTATAAATGATATTATATTTGGTATTTAAGATATATATTTTTTCGTGAATATACATTAATTAGTAATCATATATTTATAACTAATATTGTAAAAATAATTTATATATATATATATATATATATATATATATATATATATATATATATAATATGTATATATGTATATATTCCAAATTAATAATATTTAGTTTAGATATTTACAAAAACTAAAAACATACGTTTTGTAAGAATATCATATAATTCATGTTTGATAAAATAAATTAGTATTTATAAATATAATGTCATAACATTATTCAGATGTTTGAAAAAATTAGTCTATTAATTCTAACTAAAAAATGAACAACATGCAGTGAGCCAATACTACTAAAACAAATAAATTAGAACCATAAAATAACATAATTTCAAAATTCAAAAAAAAAAAAAGTTTAACATACGTCAAATTCCAACATAATAATAGTAAGTTCCACTACAACTTAAGATTAGGAAACACAATAAGTTTATCACCACATTTAACAACGAAATTCCACTTTAATTGCATCACTTATTATATGCCAAGTTTGTTAATGACTCATTATTTCTAATGTTAGGAGGTGTAGTTTTAAAAAATAGAATAATAAAATAAATAAAAATAAAATATAAGCAATTACACGGAATCACAAGAAGTAAAGGTAGAGAAATAAAAGATAAATAATATACAAAGAAAAATGTATTTTAAATTTTCAAAAAAATTAAAAGGTAAAAATAAAATTTAAAAAGTAAAATAATAGAAATAAAAAGTTATAAAGAAAATAAATTAAAATAAAATAAAAAGGCAAGAAATTAAAAGGCAACCTTGTAATTACACAGTGTAATTACCACCAATTCTTACCTCCTCCTTGAGAATTAGAGAGTGTAATTACACCCCTCCAATTACACCCAATTCTATGCTGATCAAATAATTACTTGGCCAAACAAACATGTCAAACTGTGTAATTACACCCAATTACACGCAAATCTAATTCCCAGGTGGCTTTCCAAACAGACTCTTATTCTTCTTCGATTTGGACTCAAACTTGTATTAGGAGAAGTTTTGGGACCAAATATGGAATTTTCATTTTTTCAATACTCCCTTCATGCTTTGCTTCCTTGCTCTCCCTGAACCCAAAAGCTTATTCTCCGCCGTTCACCTGCCGGAACTCCGCCGGCAATGGAATTCTCGGACGAGTGGAAGTCTCTATGGCCAATATCTTCATCCTATTCGCCACCACTTCTACTCTCAAATTATTCACACGAAGAAAAATCCTCCTCAAAACGACGCCGTATTGATAGTCCAATTTGCCCTTTGATTTTCAAGCCATGTGCAGAAACCCTAAGACTACTCCTCCGGTCGCCATTGTTATCAACTCGGCTTCCTCCTCTAGTTCCTGAGTTTTCTCTACCAAGATTTCTACAAACTTCAAGTAGTATACTTCCTTCTACAGCTTCTTCAATTGCTACACAGTTTATTACTCCACTGGTTTCTGAATCAATTCACAACTTTAATGCAATCCAATTGCTCCCTTTCCCTAATATTTGTGAAGCTAACAAACCCAATTCGGTTCTTGGATTTTTTCCAACTGGGGAAAATTATGACCAAGTTGGGTATTTTAAACTATGTTTTGAGGATAAACAAGTTGTGGTTAAGAAATTTAAGAATGGGAAATCTTTGTTAGTGCATAATCACAAGTTGAATTGTAGGATTTTGAGGTTAGTAGTGAACCCAGTTACTGTTAGTGAAATTGATGATAGTGCTTGTTTATCTACTTTTGGGTATTTATTGGTTTGTACTTTGTATTCTGTTCATTGGTATAGTGTGAAGATGGGGGTTAAAGGTGTTGGCAGTGTTACGGTAGATTATGTGGGTAGTGCTGATAGAAACTTGTTTAAGGGTTGTGCTGTTTCTCATGCTTGTTGGAGTCCACATTTGAGAGAAGAGTGTGTTGTGTTGTTGGAAAATGGGAACTTGTACTTGTTTGATATGGGTTCTTGCCTGAGGAGTCAGACTTTGTTTGCTTGTGATGTATTGCAAGGGAAGAAATTGCAGGTTTTGTGGGATAAGTTGGATAGAGATGGAGAGTGGCTAAGCTGTGAATTTAGCTGGCATCCGAAGATTTTGATTGTTGCGAATTCAAGGGCTGTGTTTTTGGTGGATTTGAGGTCGGAGAAGTGCAAAGTCTGCACCTTGCTAAAGATTGAGGCAGTGTCGTTGGGTAAAACTGATAGATTTCTTGCACTCTCTAGAGTGGAGTCTGACCCCTTTTGTTTTGCTGCAGTTTCTGGTCGCATGCTTCTTCTTTGTGATGTGAGGAAGCCATTAATGCCATTGTTGCGGTGGGTACATGGCCTAAATAATCCAGGTTACATGATTGCTTTAAGATTGACAGACCTTAGGCCAAGCTCAATAGATGATAAATGGACATGGGCTACCGAATCAGGGCGTTGCATTTTGGTAGGATCATTTTGGGACAGTGAATTTGCTCTATTCTGCTATGGGCCAGGTAGCAATCATGGTCATGAGTTTCCTGAAATATCGAGGCTCAGTAAATCGGTATATGCTTGGGGACAGCCTTCAGACCTCTCACTTTCTGGTCGTGATTGTTGTTGTGAAAGTTGTCTTATGAGAGTAGATTTCTCTAAAGACATCCTTCCTGATTGGATTAATTGGAGGCAAAAGGAAGTCCTTGTTTTGGGGTTTGGCATTCTCAACAATGGCCTTTCTGTTCAATCAGATGATACTAATAATTCTGTTGGGTTTTTGCTTGTAAGGTTAATGTCATGTGGCAGTTTAGAAGCTCAGAGATACACTGCAGCATGGGACTCTGAAGAAAGGTCAGAATCACCTTACGGAGGGAAATCTCTGTGCTCTGAAAATAACCTTCTGTATGATATGAGTATTGGAGAATTGGAATTAAAAAAGAAACCTTACTACCTGAACCTTGACTTTCTAAAAGGGTATCTAAATGGAACACTAACTAAAATCCTTAGTAGGAAACACATAGACAACCAAAAGGATTCCAAAGAAAATCCAGCAGAGATCCACCTGCAAATATGTCAGAAGCTTAAAGAATCTGGCATCACAAGACTGAGGCCATCTCAAAACGTTTTTGATGTTATCAGAGGTATCAGCTTTCCCGCAAGCATTTATGAGATTGCTTTAGAAAGCATTTGCGCCAGTTTGCCGAATACTCTTCTGGGGCTGGCTTTTTCTGCCTTCTCAAGATTCCCTGAAGTTCACCTGAAACCAAAGAAAGGTTCTCTAGAATTGTTTTATATTTTGGACAAACTATATCCACTGCCTTTTCCCTTGCATAAATGTTGTATTGATGAGACATCGGAAAAAGTTCAGTCTCCTAGTTCTTCTTCTGCTCCTGTTCTTCCTCCTCCTTTTCTGGTGGCTCTTAATAGCCTCCAAATAGCAGAAAGAGATATATTGCCACTTGATGCTGAACTTAGGCTTCAGAGTGATAAAGTTATGAAGGTGGCCCATGAAATCGGTCTGTCACACATTGGTACTGAGCCTGGTGATGGATATTCAGTTTCCCTTGATCCAGATACTGAATGCCCTAGCAATGTGATTGAAAAAATGAAGCCTCTCTGTTTGCATGAACCCGTGGCATTCTCTGACTGTAATATTTCTAAAATGGACTCTGTCGGAGTAGAACCTGATAAAAGATTTAGATCCTTCATTTATAAAAAACACCAAGAACCTGTCTCAAGTACTAGCAAAGAGATGATAGGAGTGGAGTTGTTCGATGAGGAGTGCCCAGTAGAGCTCAAATTCAATGATAGTTCCATCATGCTGGAGGCAAATGAGCTGGAAACATTTAAGTTGTTGAAACAAAAGGACTTAGGTTTTCAGAAAAGCTTTCAGTTGTATCAAGAGTATTTAAGTGGTTGAACGAGGATTGGTTCAGTGAAGCACAGTTAGGGGTATCCACTCTTCTCCAAGAAATGGCTATTACAGATTGAGATGGCAGGTTGAACATCAAAGAGTTTGACAATGAATGTTAGATTTCATTTTTCTCATACATTTATCTTTCTAAAACTCTTATTGGTGTTAATAATAAACTTTTTTTGTTGCAGTTTTTGGATTTCGTGCCAGCGAAGTTGTAGCTCATTGTGCCCTGAAGCTGATATCCAGAGACCACAGTATGCTTTCTCTGTTTACTCCTCTTTCTCTTCCTATCATTTTGAATGGGTTATGAAATTGTGCAGATCTGATTAGTCAAGTGTATTCTGTTGTTTTCAAAAACAGGTTTCTTTTTTCTAGTTTTTGTTTGGATGATGGTGGTGACTGGTCTAATTTGCAATTATTCGTGCTTAGTGAAACTCTAAATTAATGAATGTAATTTTTTTTCTTTCCTCCCAGCTTTTTTTTCCTGGTGTTCTTTTGGTACTCTTCTGCATAAATGTGGCCTCCTCTATGTTTCTGTTGTCTGATTTTCTTTGGACTTTGGTCTGTCATTGTCATCTGCTCTGTCCTACATGGCTTATCTGTTCCTTTTTCCTTTTTTGCCTTTTTTCCTCTCTTGAGTGACCGAGTTTATTTATGGCATGAAACAACTCGTAGTATGGGTCTAGCTTATTGTAAAATCAACTCCTACTGGTAGAAGAGCTATATGTTAGTCCTACAGTCTTTTTGCCTCCTGTAGTAGAAGTTTTTGCTATTTGAAGAGTCTGAGAGAACCAATTTTTCTTACATCACTAATCTTGAATTTTTGCTTGTAGTTGGCTAGATTCTGTAACTCAATATGACAATTCTGAGATATTTAAAGGGGGGAAAACCAGGATGCCACTGTCGCGGATCATTGGACAGAGCAAGGCTAGACTTTCAGTTTTAGGCATAACATAAACTACTGGGAGTTCAACAGTGTTTACAGTCTAAATCTGACTCTCTTACTTGGAAAAGTGATGCAAAGGGGAGATTTAAGGTGAGAGGTTGTTTATCAACACTTAAGAAGAGAATATGGCAGCATCCCAAACTGGCCTTGGAGCGGCATTTGGAGAAACAAGGCACCTTTAAAGGTGGACTGCTTTACCTGGCTGGTGGCGCAGAAAGCATGCCTAACCCAAGAGAACTTCAGAAAGGAGGGATCAATTTTTGCAGCAGGTGCTGTTTGTTTGAAAGGCAAAGCAAGGTTGTTAATCATATCTTCATTCATTGCGTTTACACCACGAAGATTTGGCATTTCATTGTTAATGTTGTAAGGGTAGCTGGGCAATGCCAAAATAACTACAATATTAATGCAATGCTGGTATTTTGAAAGGGCTGGAAAAGCACAAGGTGAAAACATTGAATTCAATCCATCCTACAATCTGGTGGATCATATGGAAAGAAAGGAACATAAGAATTTTTTAGAGCAAAAATGATTCTGTAATTAGCATTAAATACATATGCATTTCTTTACTCTCTCTTTTTGGTGTAACATGGCAACTGCAAATGACATAAATGCCATGATCGAATTTTTTAGCTCATTGCATAATTTGTAATGTGGCTTTTCTCTGTACTGACAAGAGGGGTTGCTGTGATGGTAAGCAACCTCCACTTCCAACCAAGAGGTTGTGAGTTCGAGTCTCCCCAAGAGCAAGGTGGGAAGTTCTCGGAGGGAAGGATGCCGAGGGTCTATTTGGAAACAGCCTCTCTACCCCAGGTTAGGGGTAAAGTTTGCGTACACACTACCCTCCCCAGACCCCACTAAGTGGGATTATACTGGGTTGTTGTTGTTGTTGTTGTTACTTTTCTCTGTAATATTCTGCAGTCCCTTGCTACACATTAATAAAACACCTTTACCAATAAAATGAAAAATTAAAGAAACCTACTTACTCTGTTAGATATCTCAAAATTATACGTCGACTTAAAATGGGAAATTCTGTTTTTAGCAATAACCAGTAGCTCTTACAGTTAAATTGTTTCCTTCCTGTATCTCTCGTGTATGCTTTTTAACATACACGAGGACGTATGCCTGAACATGTTTTCTATGTAGGTGGATTCCTGGACAACTTTGCCCTACAGTCCCCAACAGATCTAACTATATTCATTGCATTGAAGATCTTCTGTCATCGAACATCATTCCTAAAGTTCAAGATGACAGAAACTGTATTAGGGGTTTTGATATAGGAACGGGAGCTAATTGCATTTACCCTCTTCTCGGTGCATCTCTTATGGGTTGGAAGTTTGTTGGCTCTGGTAGCCCCCTCTAATTTGTAATTTTCTCCCTTGCGTCATTGTTGGTGTTTGTCTAATAAAATTGCACTATATATTTACAAAACACTGATTTCTTCATATGTGTCATCCATTTGCTATAACAGATGTTACCAACGTAGCTTTCGAGTGGGCAGAGAAAAATGTTAAAAGTAATCCTCATCTTTCTGAATTGATTGAAATCAGAAGAGTTAACATGGAAACCCCATCAGCTTCCAAGGAAGAGCTGAATGATGAAGCAGGAAAATATGGCCAATGTAAAGACGTAGACTTCGACAATGCAGAGGCTGCTCTCATTGGACCTTCACCTCCTTCTCATCTCCCAGTGCACCCAGGTATAGGAAAAATTTACAATGGACCTCCTATACTTGTCGGCGTAGTCAAGGATGGAGAGAAATTCGATTTTTGTATGTGCAACCCTCCATTTTTTGAGACGATTGAGGAAGCTGGATTAAATCCAAAGACTTCTTGTGGTGGGACTAAGCAGGAGATGGTTTGTCCTGGTGGAGAGAATGCTTTTATTACTCGTATTATTGAGGATAGTGTTCAGTTAAGGGAATCCTTTCTGTATGCTATCAGTCTTTGAATCTGGTTTATTGCATTATGTGTTAGAGAACTTTATCATGAAAGCTCAATTGAAGAGTCCTTATATTTCCTGACCCCATCTTTGCCAGGTGGTACACCTCGATGGTTGGAAGAAAAACTAACCTAAAGGTACTTATATCAAAGCTTTGGGAGGTTGGAGCAACAATAGTGAAGACAACTGACTTTGTGCAAGGCCAGACATGCCGATGGGGTCTTGCCTGGTCATTTCTCCCTCTTTCCAAGAAGATGGTACCATCCCACGTGGCTGAGAAGAATAACATGTCGTTCATGCTTGAGGTCTGTTATTACTAGACTTTTATTCTGTCATTTATTCAATTGTGGGAAATTGATAATTCTGATAAAAAAGAGCTCAAGTATCATAAGCTTGTCAGTAAAAGTTATAACGAGCAATTTTCTTTTCACCTGATACTGTCTCTCACTTTTTATGTGTAAGCTTTGCGTCTTTTGTTAGAGGTGGTGTACACTTATAAAAAGAAACTCACAATTCGTCAACTACTTCCATCTTCTTTTTTGAGTGTAGTTCATTGTCCAAACGCAATTTCAACTTCCACAGACTTTTTCAACTTCAATTCTTTTGTCCACTTACATAGACATGGGGGTTGAGTTAGTATTTTGACAGTTTTGACTATGGTGTGGAACTGGTTCTTCTTTAGGGATGCATAACAGGGTGTGGGAGTTGAGTTAGTATTTTGACTGGTAAATGTGGAATTGGTTCTTCTTTAGGTATGTGTAAGAGGTAGTTTTTGATGGCTTGGAAGAATTCACTTGGAAGTAGAATCTATCTAATATAATTCTGTCATAGAAAGAACAAAATTCTTTTCGACCCCGTCATAATTTTCAATAAGTCCGGTGCACCGGGTGTGGCTGAATAGTGTTGCTTCGATTGTTCTTTATTAGTCACAATGGAAGATGTAGTTGCGAAAAAGATCAACTTTCATAAATCCATTATTTATGCTGTGTGGCAGTGGTTTAGCATGTGGAATAGAACATAAGATCATGAATACAGCCGTTTGCTGTGGTCTTACTTAACAAAATTATCTGATCACTAGTGCCATCAGTTGAGATCTTTTTGTATTGCAGTCTAATGATTATCTTGTATAAAATGGATCATATCTACCATATATTTGCAAATAATACTTTTGAATTTGGATTGGGGTAGGAAGCATCGGTATGTTCTTCTAACCATTTAACTGCTTGACTCACCTTGGGATATCATTATTTTCTCCTCAATCTCCTTAACCGCAAGGAAATTTTTTGGTGGGACAAACAAGCTCTGTGCTCTGCCCCTGCCTTCCCACCCCACCTGAACCCAGGAAAAAAGTCAATTGGCACTTGTATTGTCATTGTTATCCTTTTGCATGAACTGATTGTTGACAAATTATGTATTCACCTCGGTTTTGTACTTCTACCTTATGTATGAGTTCATGTGCTTCTCTAGGCAGACTAACTAGTTTCTGCACGAAGTGGTTGGACTAGTTCTGTTAATTACTTCCATTGCTAGTAGATCCAAGATTTCTTACCGATTTTCAATGTTTGTTTAGGGTCTGCAGCGCCATCAGAGTGCCATTGATGTATTGCAATCAGTGGAATCCTATTTCTGTAGTATTGGTGCATCCTCTAAATTAGACTCTGCCTCGTTTAATGTTGATGTAAGCTCCATTTGTTCTTCTCTCTGATAATTACTGCACCTGTTACATGTTTTTCCTGAATCTCAATTTTTTCTTATAGGTAACTTTGTCAGGTTAGCAATGTAAGTCTATCATGAAGACCCGGTCACAGAATGGAAACGAACAGGATATACCAATATCTGCAAATTATTGCTCTGGCCAACTGAATGACATGCGTCTGCGTGTTTCTGTAATTCCCCTTACTATTTAGCATATTATGTACTTATGTCGCTGGAACCAATGCCTGGTTATTCTTGGGGCTTGTTAATCTCACTATTTAGCATGTGCGTCGTTGTATCTATTGGTCTTCCAGCAGATACCAGGGACACTTCTGGTGAGGGGATCGTTGCTCCAGAAAGAGATCCCTGTATCAGGTTTGTCCAAAATCATTTGGTCATATCCAATCAATCCAGTAATATTTCATTTTCCCCCTTTCCTTGCCTCCTAAACTATTTGGTCAAAGCCGGTAGTGTCTCATCCCTCTTTGACAGATTATTTTGATAAGGTAACTTGGTAAATAATTATATTTTTGAGAAACCTCCTATATACAAGCAGTTTACAAAACATGTTCTCTACAAATGAATAACCAATTTTCTATACAAACAAGAATCCCATGGGTGCACCAAAAGCTCACTAAAAATCATGCTATTACTTACATATACAAAGTCATTTTCTACCCCCGCACAAGCTCTCCTATTTCTCTACTTCCACTAGAACCACATTATACGCCACATGGCAATGTCCTATGTCTTCTCTTCCTTCTTCTAAAAGCCCAGCTCTGTAGGACTTGGATAGAAACTACAGAAAGAAAATTCTGAAAAGAAAAACATATTTGTTAGCGGGGTGTTTTCTTTTATATTCCAGCAATTACAGGAAGTTCTAAAAAGCAAATTCAGTAAAGGCACCAGATAATGGTTCCTTCTCCTGGTGTAGAAGATAACCTGCGTATGATCTGCCGAACTACTAGTGAGATGATACAACGGTGACTTATGTGTATGGTTAAGGACTGGGTAGGTTGTGTAGGAAATGTTGAGGATCCTAGCAATTACAGGAAGTTTTGAAAAGCAAATTCAGTAAAGGCATCAGATGATGCTTCATTCTCTAGGTGCTAAAGATAGCCGGTGTATGATCTAACGGTTAGATAGGTTGTGAAGGAAATTGTTAAAGTGTATATCTTTTCTAAAATAAATATGGAGTGAAATTAACAATTCCTCCTGTCCTTTGTTGCATTGTTTTGTATTATCTAAAAGAAATTAACAATTCCTCATGTCCGCTTGAGAGCATGCACGAGATGTGAGTGAGTCATTCACGAGAGAATGATAAAATAGTAAGATACCATTATCTGACTAACAGAATGTGTTGTAACTATTCTAAGTAGAAGAAAAATAAGTAACATTCAGTTGTTTCTTTTCAGTTGGAAGCAGCCACAAATAAAGCAACTGCTCTGTCTAGAAATGAGAGCAAATATAAATGGCATATAAGAATGGCTTGTTTTCTGGTTTGTGCGGGTGGCTCATGTAGTTCACATCAAAGGTTGCTACCTCTAGCATCAAGCCCACCATGTATCAAACTGTATTGACAAGATTTGGATTAAAATCAGAGCTGGCTCGATGCATGCATTTGGCATGTGCTTGCCAGCCATGTGCTAACATGTCTCTCATTCATAAGCTGTCTCACTTTCTCTACATTTTCCCACATCCCAAGTAAGGCATTCCAAATATGATCATCAGGTTCACAAGGAGGCATCTTCTTTAATTTATCTGAGCTAGCACTTCACTAAAACCTCCTGCTCTACCTAAGAGGTCAATTATGCATGCATAATATAATGTTCTTCATTGGGAGGAACATTATGATTACAAGTCATCATCTCGAAAAAAGAAAGGCCTTCCTGCACTAGTCCTGAATGACAAATGTGATTCTGTTTGGTTTCACTCCAATCTTAAAGAACATTTCAATTGCCCATACCATGTTGTGCTAATGCAGACAACATGGTATTCCATAATACTTGTTCCTCTTTGCAACTTCCACATTTTGAATACATATCAATGAGACAACTCATAACAATTGCATTAGGTCTTAAACCAGCATTCACCAGGAATGCATGTACTTGCTTACCACGCTTAAGTGATGCTATATCAGATAGACAACTACTAAACGTAAACTGATCAGGTTGGACCTGAAGCTTCACCATCTTTGCAAATAACTCAGGGGCCTGAAGGCTCATGCCACTATGGGAATAGCCAGCAATCAAAGTCGTCCAAGAAACAGGATTCTTCCAGGAATACAAATTTCTCCTAGGATGTTAAGGTGATGGAAGGCTGGCCTTGAGAAGAGAGATTGAGAATATTTTGGACTGACCATAAATTATTGAGCTTCTTGTTTGTATTAACTCCAAACCTGCGAGCTTTGGAAGGTAAACATGAAGTGGGCACATGTCAGAATGGGTTGCTTTGATTCTATTTCTAGCAAAATGGCTAGTTCAAACATGATTTCAAAAACTAAAATAAAATTCAAACTTTAGCAAACAAACCTTATATGTTAGGTGGAACTATTTCTAAATTAGTTTTGAGTAATTAATGTAAACTAGAACATAAAACCTCAATTTTTTGCGACAATTAGATATCAATAAGCTTATACCAGTACAAATAGCTAGCTCATTGTAAACGGTATATATAGCATATTAAGTGCAAAACATAAAATTTAAAAACAGTTAATTAAGTTGCACAACATTTTTAAAAAAATTCTCTTAAAAAATATTGAAAAAGGTAAAACTGTTATTCCTATCACCATAAAAAAGGAAAGAGGCAGAATACTGTCTGTTTATCCTATCCTAAAAATATACTCTAGTATTCAATCAATTAACAAAGAAGAAACAAACCAAAAGTCAACACTAGCCACCCTACAGAATCTTAATTAAGGGGCTAAAGTCAAATTGCCTATAACGGAAATAGGGTTGTCAAATTTGGTCAAGCCCAAATGATCCGTCCAACGTTGGCTTGGTTATTGACCCGATTATTTATTGAACTCAGTCTATCTTAACCTAACTCATCTCAACCTATTTGATACGAACGCAGAAGTAAAATAACAAGAACACAAATAACAAGATAAAAGATAAAGATTCAGTAGAGAACCAACTAAGAAATTGAAAGAACATTTGAAATAAACAAATACCCAATCAATTTAAGACTTAATTGATCCAAAACTATAGGAACAACTATAAAGGGAAGCAATCCCCTTGCAAGTTCACCTTACTAAGTAATCAACCAATATAGGAATTTATCCTAAACACTCTCAATGAGTTTTTATTCACAATATCAAAATAAGCTAAGCTAAAATGAGAGCCGTAATGGCTATTTATACTAGGGAGCTAAATATTACAAGTATAACCACCAGATATAATGTAGTCTTTAATTGTTGGCTATATTGCACATGTAGCCGTTCCGTAATGGAAGTAGCCTCCAATTAGAATCCAAATTGCTCGATGGTTATCTAGATTTTATCATCCTCTCTCTCTTAAAAGAAATTCGTCCTCATATTTGGACCTTTAAACAAAAGAAAGGGAGCTTCCATTAGTAAAATTTCAACTTGGACATAAACAAGTTCCTCAAACTAACAAGCAAACCATATTTTAACAAATTAATGGTGCATCCAAGCCAATAAGTAAGACAAATCTACCATTCAAACCAAAATCTAATGATACCCATGGGCAAAATAAAGCATAAAAGCTAACCAAAATATGAGAATTATTATGAAATACCTCCAATTTACACACCAAATATGCCCCATCATAAGAATCATCAAGAAAAGTATTAACTCTCATAGCTTTATCAAGTCCAACCATAAGCATAAGCCAAATAAATAAGTCATTCTTGAATTCAAGTAGATATGAGAAATAGAAAATAAGAATGGTATGCTCAAACAAAACAAGTCTCTTGGCTTCACCAATATTATCATTCAAGAAAGATTTAGCATGCTTTTTCTTAAACTCATCACACCAACCCACATGAAGGTAATCTTGTTTTAAACTCAAAGCACTGGTTTAGTAGAACAAATTAGTTCTATCAAATATATGACTGGAAAAAGGTAGAAGGTTTACACCAATTAAAGAACTTTCTTCTTTTTCAAAAAGTTTAGCTTCCAAAACAATCTCATTAGTAATCTCAAACATCTTCTTAAAAATGGAACCTTTGATTGGTAAATCCATATCAAACTCAAAAGATTGTATCTCACAATCAAACAAGAAAGAATCTGATGGCTTAAAGCTTGAAACTTTACCACTCAATTCACCTTCAAATAAGCAATCATCACCAATTAAAGAATGGTCCTCAAAGTAGAAAGCATGAACAATCGGAATCAATGGATCAAACTCAATAAAATCACATAAAGATGCAATGTTTACGCTTTCCTCAACCTCAATCAATACTTCTTCATAAGTAAATAGGTCATTCAAACCATCAAAACAACAAGAATCATTATCTAGTGTATCTTCACAACTCAAAGAATCATTAGAATCAATAAGTGTACCCAAACTAACACTTGAAGCATCATTATGCTCATCACAAGAAGAAAGAGTGTTAGTCTTAACAATCATACCTTGATACACTTCTAAAGATTCTATGTTACCTCCTTGTAGAATGAAAGAATCTTCACTTTGGGCTAGGGTGAATTCGGTCACCTCACTTGATGTTCTTTTTTGAAGACTTCCACTTGAATCTTTCTTCAAAAGATCTACATAATAAGTCAAACAATTAGCAAGAAAAACATCGTCATGAGAGGATTATAAGAAGATTGTTCCTCACTTGAACTCTCTTGTTTTCTCTCTTCTTTCTTTTCATTCTTCTTTTCAGTCTTTTCTTTTCCTTCTTTCTTGGTTCTCTCACTCAATTCTTTTATATGCCTATAGTCTTCACTCACTTGAAATGGAGTCAAAGGAGTAAGGACTATTTTTTTGTCATTCTCCTCAAAAGAATATTTATTAGTCCTTCCATCATGTAGAGCATCCTTGTCATATTCCTATGGCCTCCCCAACAATAGATGACATGCTTGCATAAGCACCACATCACAAAGAATATCATCAACATACTTTTTAGTTTCGAAATTCATCAAGACTTGTCTAGTCATTTTAAGTTCACCACATTCATTAAGCCACTTGAGTTTATAAGGGCGAGTATGTATTTGAGTCTTCAAGTTTAACTTGTCAACCATATAAGTACTAGCAACATTATCACAACTACTACCATAAATAATCAAATAATACACATGATCTTTAATCTTACACCTTCCATGGAACAAGTTCTCTATTTGGTTCATATCTTCTATCACTTTTGCATTCAACACTCTCCTAACAACATACAAAGGTAAATAAGAGTGTCATATTTTACTTCATCATCATATTCGGCCTCCTCTTCTTCACACGATTCTTTATATTCTTCCTTTTCATAAGCTTCTTCCATAAGAATTATGGTTCTTGTATTAGGACATTCACTCATTTTATGACCATATCCTTGACATTTGTAGCATCTATTAGAGTTAAAATTTTAGAAATAAGATTTAGAATTGTTACCTCCCTCCTTAGCCTCCACCTTTGGTTTGCCTTTGTCATTTTGCCACTTGGAGTAACTTTTGGCTTGTTGTCATTTGAAAGAGGTTGCCAAGTTTCCTTGTTTTTGCTCCATGGAGTATTGTAACTTTTGGATTTGCTCTTTTTGAGTTGCCTCTCTTCTTGGAGTTTATTTTCCACTTTGATATCCCCTTGGAGTGACTGATGTATAGTAACAAATTTGTGCAAAGTCATTTGGCTAGAGATTTCATGCTTAAGCCCCGCTAAAAATCTAAAAATCATGAATCTTCCATTATCATCAATATTGGCTCTAACCCTAGTTGTCTCCAACTCTTCAAAGTAAGCGTCCAAATTTTTGTTTCCTTGCT